ACGAATGCCCGATATTCTTGTTATTATCCTTTTATATTCTGTATCAAGCAACAGTTGACTATACAAACATAGACAGCAACATAGCTGGATCCAAGATCCAAAGAAGGCAGCTTCCTACAGGATGCTGTCATCAAACTTCTAGAGTTTGGGCGACTCTAGAGGCTGGATTTCTAAAAACAAATGCTGACATACCCAAGAACCATCTGTCTGTCAAGATGAATAAAGTTATGTATCTTATCCACTAAGATATTTTCATTTAAATAAATATCTTGGTCATAATGGTTTTGCCACAGAATACAGTTCATAAGAGTAAGGAGCCCATTGCATAGTTACAACTAATATTTGAGAGTAATTGCTTCTAGTCCTGTATATATAATAATGAAGAATACCTTAATACTGACACATAATCTAATCTTTTCATTTAATATTAGGAATATTTTTTGTCATTAACTCTACTTGGATAATTTCACTTCAATGTATACATTATAATGCATTTAATGTATGAACTATAATTCATTTAACCAATGCCCTACTTATGGAAGGTTAGCATATTTCAGTTTTTTGGTTATAAATAAAAATGTATATTTACCTAAATCTTTCCAAATAAAAATGGTTTTTAATATTATAGTGTTATAATTTTTAGAAACTTTTAGCCAATTTTCCCTTTAGCAAGGCCTTTCCAGTTCATGCTTCCCCATACTCTAGTAAAGTCTGAGGAGTCTAGTTCCTGCCCCTGTCAACCCTATCTACAGGTATGACATAATGCCTTGCCTACCTGGCTCCAAATTACATTTATTATAATTATTCATAGTCACTATGTGTTAGGTAATGTTCTGGGCCATAATTATAAAATGATGAATAAACAAATGTGTCTCCTGTTTCCATGAAGCCTATAGTTTAATTATAGAAACAAAAGACTAAATAAACAACTGCTCTGCACCCCTAGTTCACTCTAACTTCTAGTCAATGTGAGTGTTGACCTTAGAACTTGAGGAAGTGAAACTAGAAACCTCTGTAGCCCAGGAGGTGATAGTTGCCAACACAAAAACTAGCAGTTTCCTATTTCCTTGCCCTGGAACTCATTAGAATAATTATCCCATGCAGACATCCTCTAATACTTTACCTCTAACACTCATGCTTCCTTGAACGGTTTCCTTCTTCTGCTGCTTTTTTCCATTTCTTCTCTTCAAAACGAAAATCCAGGATTGTTTCCAGGAAGAGTCATTTAGGGAGATGTTAATTTGGAGCTATAGGATAAGCACTGGACCACAAGGTCAGTTTGAACTGCAAAGTCAGGGGTTCAAACTCACCAGCCGCTCCTCAGAAACCCTATACAGGGTCAATATGAATCAGAACCAACTAGATGGCACTTAACAACAACAACAATTCTGCATAATTCTGCCCCTCAGGTTGGAAGGCCCTCAAAATGTGACTGGGAAGAGGTGCATTCTCAAAGTAAAGTTGTCTGTGATAACACAGACTGAATAAAGCTTTCAGGACCTTCATTTGCTGATGGGGCACAACTCACAAAACAGATATAAACATCCATTAATAATCGGACGACAGAATGTACAAAGTATGTATGTAGGAAAAGTGGGAGTTACCAAACATGAAATGGACTGCATAAAGATCATTATCCTAGGTATCAGTGAGATAAAATGGACAGTATTGCCCATTTTGAATCTGAAAATCATATGGTTTACTAAGCAAGGAATGACAAATTGAAGAAGAATAGCATCACATTCATCATCAAAAAGAACATTTCAAGATCTATCTTAAAGTATAATGCTGTCTCTGAAAGAACAATATTCATACACCTATAAGGAAGACCAGTTAATGCCACTATTACTCAAATTTCCTCACCAAACAGTAAAGCCAGTGATGATATAACTGATGAATCCTACCAACTTCTTCAGTTAGAAATGATCAAACATGCAAATAAGATGTATTGATAATTACTAGTGATTGGAATGCAAAGTTGGAAACAAAGAGGAAGAATCAATGCTTGGAAAGTATGATGATAGAATTGATGCTGGAGATTACATGATAGATAGACAGACTATACACATGAACCTAACCAGATGGAATACACAGAAATCAAATTGACGATATCTGTGGGTAGAGACAGTGGAAAAGTTCAATGTCATCAGTCAACACAAGGCCAGGGGCAGATGGTGGAATAAGCCATCGATTGCTCATATGTAAATTCAGGCTGAAGCTGAGGAAAAGTCAAAGAAGTCCACAAGAGGCAAAATGTGACCTTGAACATATTCCATCTGACTTTAAAGACCATCTGATGAACAGATTTGATGCATTTGAAACTAAAGATCAGAGAGCAGAAGACTTGTGGGATGACATCAAGAACATCATACATGAAGAGAGCAAAAAGTCATTAAGAAGACAAGAAAGAAGGAAAAGATCAAAATGAATGTCAGAAGAGACTCTGAAACTTGCTCTCCAGTGTAGAGATGCTAAAACAAAAGGAAGAAATGAGGAGGTAAAAGAGCTGAACAGAAAACTTAAAAGGGCAGCTCGGGAAGACTAAGTCAAGCATTATAATGAAAAACATGCATCAACCTGGAGTTAGAAAACAAAAAGGAAGAACATGTCAAGCATGTCTCAAGTTGAAATAACTGAAGAAAAAAAATCAAGACTCCACTTGAAATACTGAAGTATTCTATGGGCAAAATATTAAATGATACAAAAAAAATCAATAGAAGATAAAAGGAATATAACACAGTAACTGTACCAAAAAGAAATGATTGATGTTCAGTCATTTCAAGAGGTAGCATATGGTCAAGAGCCAATTGTACTGAAGGACGAAGTCCATGTTGTACTGAAGATATTGAGAAAGAACAAGGGTCCAGGAACTGGTGAAATCCAAATTGAAGTCTTTCAACAAACTGATGTAACACGGGAGGCATTCACTCATCTATCCCAGGAAATTTGAAAGACAAGCTACCTGGCCAACTGATTGAAAGAGATACATATTTGTACCCATTCCAAAGAGAGGAGGCCCTACAAAATGAAGAAATCAAATTACAATATCATTAATATCACATGCAAATAAGATTTTGCTAAACATATTTTTAAATGGCTGCCAAAGGTTCAAGTCAGATTTAGATGAGGATGTAGAATGAGGACTACCATACCTAACTTAAAATGGATCTTAGCTGAAAGCAGAGAACACCAGAAAGATGTTTGTTGTTGTTGTTGTTAAGTGCCGTTGAGTCGGTTCTGACCCATAATAATGCTGTGTAGGGTGTCCAAGGAGTGACTGGTGGGTTTGAACCACTGACTGTAATTCATACAGATTTTTTTGGTCCAATGCATTATCCTGCAGTGCCACACCAAGGCAAGAAAGATGTTAACTTATGACTACACAAAGGTTTTTGTCTGTGGCTAATGATAAGCTATGGATAGCATTATGTAGAATGGATATTTTAGAATACTTAATTGTGCTCATGAGGAACCTGCACAAAGATCAAAAGGCAGTTGTTCAAACAAGACAAGGGGGCACTGAATGATTTAAAATCAGGAAAGATGTGCACCAGGGCTGTATTCTTTTACCACACCTATTCAATCTGTATGCTGAGCAAATAATAGAGAAGCTGAATTAATCAAGATGATTATGGCATCAGGAGTAGAAGATGACTCATTAACAACCTTCAATAAGCAAATAATACAACCTTTCTTGCTGAAAGTGAAGAGGATTTTAAATACTGATGAAGATCAAAGACCACAGACTTCAGTACAGATTGTACTTCAATATAAAGAAAACAAAAATCCTCACCACTGAACCAATAAACAACATTCTTGTCAACGGAGAAAAGATTGAAGTTGTCAAAAACTTCATTTTTCTTGAATCCGCCATCAACACTCATGGAAGCAGCAGTCAAAAAATCAAACAATACATTGCATTAGACATATCTGCTACACAAGAAAGACCTCTCTTCAAAGTGTTCAAGAGCAAGATGTCAGTTGGAAGTCTAAGGTGCACCTGACCCAAGCCATGGTATTTTCAATAGCCTCATATGCATGTGCAAGCTGGACAATGAATAAGGAAGACCTTAGAAGAATTGTTGCATTTGAGTTATTGTGTTGGAGAAGAATATTGAAAATCCCAGGAACTGACAGAAGAACAAACAAATCTGTGTTGCAAAATGTTTAGCCAGAATTTTCCTTAGAAGTCAGGATGATGAAACTTCATCTCTCATACTTCAGACATATCATCAGGAGGGACCAGTTCTTAGAGAAGGATAACATGCTTAGTAAAGTAGAAGGTCAGCAAAAAGAGAAAGACCCCCAACAAGATGGATTGGCACAGTGGCAGCAGCAATGGGCTCATGCCTAACAATAGTGAGGACTGTACAGAACCAGGCAGTGTTTTGTTCTCTTGTGCATAGGGTCGCTGTATGTCGGAACCAACTCAATGATATCTAACAACAACAATTCTGCATTTGTTTGCTCATCTAAATATTGAAGTTATTAAAATTCAATCATCTTTTCTGCTCATGGTCAATCTTTTCCACCTCTCCATGATGTATGATTCATGGAATCTGTTTCATGTCCAATATTGGACTAGCAGACAATACTGGACTAGTCTCTAGCTTATATTTTATAGCACTGTCCTGCAGAAATCCAGCTTCTAATTTGCAATTCATCCTTCTTACTTCTTCTCCTCATGGACATGTTGTGTTGTTAAGTACTGTCTAGTCGGTTGGTTCTGACTCATAGCGTCTCTGTATAGCGTTTCCAAAGTTTTAAAAATTTTGTAGAAGCAGAGAGTCTCATCTTTCTTCTACAGAGCAGCTGGAAGGTTCAAACTATTGACCTTGTGGTTCTCAGTCTAGTGCTTATTGTACAATAAATTGTCTGCAGTTCCTTAGTGGTACCTATGAAATTCTAATCTTTAATTTATGCACTAAGATATCCACTGAACTTCATAGAAGATACAAATCTCAATCGTAAACTATTTTCTAAGGCTTAGCAATCCCCTCTTATCCCTCTCTACTATCTTTCTTGGGGTTAGCATCCTGACCCCAGTATAGGTGCAGAGTACGGCGTAGGGCTCGTTTGACTTCTTGATTACGCAAGCAGTAAATTATAGGGTTGAGCAATGGTACAATGACTGCATAGAGCACAGAGACCAACTTGTTGGTGTCAAAAGTTGAGAGTGCCTTTGGCCTGGCATAGATGAAGATACTCGCTGCATAGAAGATGATCACAACAGTGAGATGAGAGGCACAAGTGGAAAAGGCTTTATGGCGTCCAGCAGTTGAGGGAATACGCATCACAGCACCAGTAATCGCCATGTAGGAAGCTCCAGTGACAGAGAGTGGCCCCAGCAGGATAAAAATTGCCAAGACAAAGTCTGTAAGCTCAGCTGTGGACATGTCAGTGCATGAGAGATTGAGCAATGGGGAGACATCACAGAAAAAGTGGTTGATGATGTTGGGTCCACAATAAGAGAGATGAGAAATGAGAAGGACTTTGACCAGAGAGATGCCAAACCCTCCAGCCCAGGATCCAGTTGCCATCTGCACACATAGTCGCCCACTGACAATGACAGGGTAGTGGAGAGGATGACAAATGGCCACATAGCGATCGTAGGCCATAACAGCAAGAAGAACACATTCGGTGCAGCCCAAGCCTAAGAAAAAGTAGAGCTGTGTCATGCAGCCCTCAAATGAGATTAACTGTCCACGACCCTGTTCAGAGCCAACAAATCCAGCAAGCATTTTGGGAATTGTGACAGTGACATACCAGATCTCCAGGAAAGACATATTAGCCAGGAAGAAATACATGGGTTTGTGGAGGGTTGGGTGGTTCCTAATCGCCATGATAATGAGTGTGTTCTCAGTCAGCACCAACACATAGGCCAGCAGAGAAAGGGAAAACAATAGCACCCTAAGTGGTACAGGAGCTGGGAAGCCCAGTAACACAAACTCACTCACCCTCCCACTCTGGTTCCTCTGCTCCATGGTATTGGGCTTGTCCACTCTTTTCAGGAGATGAGAATGCAGAGTATCTTCAGGAAACAGCAATGAGAGCCCAGCATTTCTCTTGGTAGGAGTTACATTGATATAATTCAACGTATACCACTGAGCTATGGTCAGTCTCTCGTCTCAGACTGGAAATGAACTAAGACAAAAGTAGATACAAATAAATTGCTTTGTATATGGAACAGGATAGGAGTCTGTTCTGGCTCTTGGGGAAACATGTATTGATTTAAAAAATAATAAAAAAATGTGTTCACTATTCAATAAACTCATAATTTAGTTTTAGAGATGTATCTTCGTTTTCTTCTCTCTAAAAGTTTAAAGTGAAGTGCCTATCTCTCCACCATACACTATCCCACATAAATGGGAACCTTGAAACTACTCTTGTCATTCATGGCCTTAGCCATCATCCTTTCTCTTCAGTCCTTGCCTTATATGCTATCCATTGTACTTTTAACCTTCCTGGCTATAGGCCTTTTTTTTTTTATATTTTAATTTTTGTTCTCTTCTCTATCTTTATGTTTGATATTCTGCACAATAATAATAATTTTTTAAAAAGCAGCTTCTCATAAATGGATTCCTAACTGATCTTTCTACACATACTCTCCCCTCTAAAGCGCAAATCTGATCATTCTAATGGTCCCATGTAAAACCAAAAAAAGGGGGCACTGTGGGTGCAAAGATTAAACACTTGATCCTGATTGAAAGGTGGGTGGTTTGAACCTACTAGTTAGTCACTCTGTAGAAGAAAGATGTCCCAGTCTGCTTCCATAAGGATTGTTGTTCGTTGTTAAGTGCCGTTGAATTGGTTCCAACACGTAATACCCCTGTATAGGATTTCCGAGAAGAAGTTGGTGAGTTTGAACTGCTGACCTTTCAGTTCAAACTGACATTGTAGTCCAGCATATTAACCCACAGAGCCACACCAGTACTCCCCATAAGGATTACAGTCCTGAAACTGCTATGGGGCAGTTCTATTCTGTCTTATAAGGTTGCTGTGAGTCTGAATTGACTCCACAGCAGTGGGTACTTAAAACCTTCCATAGTTCTGTAATAACATGTGGCTCTTTAATGAGGCATACAAGTACTTCATGATCAGTCATTGCCATCATTAAAACCTCATCTCCTGCCAAGCTTACATGGCATTTTATACTCCGCAGCTATCACCACACAGCATGTATATTACCTCTGTAACTTGTCTCATGCTACAACCTCCCTGGGCATGACCCCCACATAGCCTTCAAGTTTCAGCTCATGTGCCATCTCCTTATGGAAGATTTTTAGTTACCCTTCTTTCTTTCCTCTCCTTTTCTCATGCTTGATGAGGTCTCTCTTATCACTGTTCCCATTAGAGCTGATGCTTGTTTGATCACTGTCATAATTGCTAAGGTTGATATTAAGGATGAACTAATTATGTTGCTGAAGTGGATCCATAGATCCATAATGGTGGCAACAAAGAGTAGACATAATTCCTTAAATGTCTCATGAATCTCTAAATATAATATGCCCAGAAAAATATATCCTGTCTGTTTTTCCTCTATTTAATAAAAATTATTCGTTTCCATGCAATCATCTATGTCAAAAACTTCAAAATTTCCTAGATTATAACAATTCCTCCCCACACTCACAATTAATCAAAATTCTACCTGATTGCCGCTTTAGTAATTTACCATATCTTTCCTCTTACTCCTCTCTTATTACTACTGTCTTCCTCATAGACCGTATATCTGATCCTTGCTTTTCCTTGATTTAATTATTTCAATTAACTCTTACTTTGTCTTTCTGCCTCCAGCCTTAATACTCATCAATCTAATTTGCACCTAATCCTAAAAGGGAATTTCTATGCAGAAATCTAACCATATTGCTCCTCACTGACTCCAAAAGTATCTAGAACACACACAAAAGCCCTTTATTGCATATCAAAATGTATTTTTTTTCAACATTTCTTCAAAAATCCTAACATTGCCCATTGGTTTTCTCTTTCTAAGTTTATTCTCTAACTCTGTGGCTTCTCTCTGTAAGAAATACCCATCCCTGCACCTAAGAATTCTTAATTATCCTTTGTATTACAGTTTCACATTTTTGCAGACACAGGTAGATTATTTACTGATTATTACTGATATCTTTGTGTCTCCTTTTGACCGTGGTTCCCATTACAGAGTTGGCCTATAATATTGCATCTGTAAAGAAGACATAGTGGTTGCATGGATGCATGGATGGGTGGGGAAGGTGAATAAAGGTGCAAAATGGGCAGGAAAGATGAATTGCAGAAAATTGTACTGGAAGATAAAGAAGACAGAATACAAAAAAGAACTTTGAGTAAAGAATTTGGATAAATTACCACAAATTTGGAAAGAGTTGGAATGATGTGTAGGAAAGTTAGGCATTGATTGAAAAAGAGAGCATCTCTATAAGGATAAGATAAAGCGTAAGAAAGTTAGATTTAATTTAGAGAGAGGCAACCTTCTTTAGATAAGATGGGTAATGTTTGGGGAGGACAAATTTGCTACATGGACAACAGATCCAAAGAGAGAAGATTCAAAAGCAAAACTAAACTTATTGCTATTGAATTGATTCCAACTTATTGTTATCCTGTATAGGGTTCCTGAGGCTATAAATTTCCATGGGAACAGAAAGCTTCATCCTTCTACCTAGGAGCAGTTGGTGGGTTTAAGCTGATAATAGCCTAAATATCACTAGAATGGACCAGATGGGGAAAAAAATGTTGATAGGGGTTTTGGTTTTGTTAGCTGTACATAAAAATAGGAAAATCAATGTATTAAGCAGAATTAGAGAGAATGTGGTAGAAGAGAAATGAAGGCGATAACAGAATCCACCTACTATATTCTGATGTCTTTGACTCAAGGTCCTCCTGAAATGGCCAAGCTGGAGAAGAGAAGACTAATGAGCTATGCATAGAAGAAAGTTGACAATGAAACAAAGAAAATTTTCCACCTTTTCTTTCTTGATGGCCAAATAACCTGGCCAAACCAGGAAACATTTCTTTTATCTTGTACCTCCCTCCTTTAGTTCTCAGTTCATCTCCTCCTTCTGACCCTTTGGGATGGTTCTGAGGCAGGAGCCCAAGAGAATAAAAGATACAAGAGAAGAGAAAAATGGGACAAAGGAATGAAACAGGTAGTTGGAAAAACTCAGAAAACAACAGTTTAACAGAAATGTCACATGAAATAGGATGTGTTAAGATACCTCTGCAACTGCATACATTTCTTTCCATGATTTCTTCCCTGTAAATCTCAACTTACTTAAAGGAAAGTCACAGGCATTAAGTCAGGAAAATCAGGTTTATAAAATAGCTCAGTCAAGCACTTAATTTTGAGCCTTAGTTTCCTAATCAATAAAATTGAATTTATAGACCTCATATGGTTGTTGAGAAAACTAAATATTATAAGATATGAAAAGTGCCTGGAATCTGGTAGGGACTCAACAATACCAGACTGTCCTTATTGATCTCATATGTGTAACATCCTTTATATCCCGGATACCATAGAAGGAACATTGCATTAAGAGTTAGGGTTTCTAGGTTTTCATGTCTATAAATAATATTTTCCTTAATCTGGGTTTTATAATATATGTTTACTTTCTATAAAATTATAGTAACATATATTACAGTGTGCTTTCAAGATTAAATAAAACAAAATGTGTGAAAAGATTTGGCACAGAACGTAGCCCACAGTAAGCAGCATCAACAAACTGATACAGCACTGGAAGTGCTCACTTATCTATGCTAGGCTATTTGGAAGACAACTGCCTGACCAACCAATTGGAAGAGATCTATATTTGGGCCCACTCTAAAGAGAGGTGACTGAATGGAATGCAAAATCATCAAACAATATCATTAATATCACGTGCAAATAAAATTTTGCTGAAGAGAATTCAAGAAGGTTGCAACAGTACATTGACAGGGAACTGCTAGTAACTGAAACCAGATTCATTGGGGGAATGTTGAACTAGTGATATCACTGATAACAACAGATAGATCTTTACTGAAAGCAAAGAACACCAACGAGACATATACTTGTGCTTGTTGACTATGCAAAGACTTTCTACTGTGTGGATCCTGACAAGTTATAGGTAACATTGGGTAGAGTGGATATTCTATAACACTTGATGATTCTCATGAGAAACCTGTAGACCAAGAGGCAGTAGTTTGAACAGAACAGGGAAAACTGAATTGTTTAAAATCAGAAAAGGTGTGGACCAGGGTTGTAACTTTTATCATACTTATTGAATCTATGTGCTTAGCAAATAACAGAGAAGCAAGATTATATGAAGAACATTGGAAGAAGACACATTCACAACCTTAGATAAGCAGATGATATAACCTTGCTTGCTGAAAGTGAAAATTTTAAATACTTACTTTGATGAAGATCAAAGACAACAGCCTTCAGTATAGATTGCACCTCAATATAAAGAAAACAAAAATCCTAACAACTAGAACAATAAATAACATCATGATAAATGGGAAAGATTGAAGTTGTCAAAAACTTCATTTTTCTTGGATCCACTATCAACGCTCCAGGAAGCAGTAGTCAAGAAATCTAACAATGTATTGCATTAGACAAATCTGCTACAAAGACCTCTTCAAACTGTTCAAGAGCAAAGATGCCAGTTTGAGGAATAAAGCACACCTGACCCAAGCCATGGTATTTTCAACAGCCTCATGTGCATGTGAAAGTCGGACAATGAATAAGGAAAGAAGTAGAAGAATTGATGCATTTGTGTTATTGTGTTGAAAAAGAATATTGAAAATGCCATGGACTGCTAGAAGAACAAACAAACCTGTGTTGTAAAAAGTACAGCCAGAATGCTCCGTAGAAGCCAGGATGGTGAGAATTCGTCTCTCATATTTCAGACATATCATCAGGAAGGACCAGTCACTGGAGAAGGACATATGCTTGGTAAAGTGGAGGGTCAGTGAAAAAGAAGAAGATCCCCAACGAGATGGGGTAGGTACAGAGGCA